AAATTAAGCAGAATTCGGAAAACGGGGAAATAACAAACCATTAAACACAATTCCCTATTTATTTACAAGTGCAATAAACTAAATATAATTCAAGAAATAACGACTCATCAGTAAGCCAGGAATCTCCTCAGGAAACACATCTAGAAATTCACTGACTACCGAGAGGTCTACGCTCGAATCTCCTTGCTTCACTTCCATGTGTGATAGTATCAGGAAACAGCATGCACCTTCTATTAGGTCTTGTCTCAACACACCAGGAGTCAGAGGTGTGTAATCCTCCTCATTGGGAAATACTAGCTTTTTCTCTCCACAATCAATGAGAATACGATTAACAGACAGCCAATCCATCCCTAGGATGACATCCAAACCTTGCAAAGGTAAACATATCAAGTTTACCTTATACTGACACCCCCCTCAACCACTACTGACATCTAACACAAACTGTAGATGTCTTCACTATCCCAAAAGTAGGAGTAGATACAGTCAAGTCATACTGTAACTCTCTCACTGGTAACCCCCAACTCTCTAGTACATACAAGTCTTAGACACAAAGATGTGGTCGCTCCAGATCAACATACCATGCAAGATTTACCACCCAATACACATTTACCGAAAATCAAATCACCTGAGCTAGCTGCTTTTTGTTCCCTGTCAGTGCATAGACGCGTCCATTGGCTGAGGTCTGATGCCACCTCTGTGCTGAGATCTCCCTGCGTGCTGCGACTGGGAAGTAGCTCTCCTACCCATAGGGCAATCACGCTCAAAGTGGCCCTCCTTGTGGCATCGGTTGCACCTCCGAAAATTAGTTCTCTGGGGGCATGAAGACAAGTAGTGTGAACCGCCACATCCATAGCATCTCACGCCACTCAGAGATGAGGACTGGCTCGACTGAACAGAAGGCTGAGAAGATCCTCCAGAACTACGAGAAGAAGAAGATCTGGAGTATGGTGTCGTCCTGGAACTAGACCCGCCTCTAGACATGGCTGGTCCCCCAACCCTTAGTGGCTGGACCTGACGGCTCGGGTATCCCTCAACTTCTCTCTTTGTCTTCTCCATATTCCCTAGCCATCTCACAAGAGCTGGAACTTCCCTCAGACGGTGACCTCTCACCAAGAGCTTGATGTCACCGCGCAACCCGTTTTCAAACTTGCGGCATTGCCACTCTTCATCCACTTTCATGGTGTTAAATCTAAGATGTTTGAAGCGATCAGTATACTCAGATACCGACATATTTCCCTGCACTAGCTCCAAAAACTCCACTTCCTTAGCATATCTAAGAGTTTCAGGGAAGTATTCCTTATAGAACTTCCTCTTAAATAAGTCCCATGTGATAGGGGTTCTAGTTCCCCCTCCAAGATCATCCGTGCATGCTTCCAGCTCCACCAGTGCTTGCCTCTCCAGTCAATAGATACTCAGTATAGGACAACCTTTTTCATCAGGACACCTCTTGGCGTTTTGTAGACTCTCTCCATATCACAAGCCACTGATCGGCTTCATCTGGTGAGGCACTTGCCATCAAACTTGGCGTGGGTGGGGAAATGGGGGATGGGTGGGGGGGTGGGGTCCCCTGAGTGGTTTTTATTTGTTTTTTCGTTGGTTTCTGTTGTTTGGTTTTTGTTTGTTTTCTCATCGTCTTCTCTCTTCCCGAAATTTTCCAAACTCCATTCTTGAGTTGGAGCAGCTGAAGAAGAAGAAGGACCGGTGGGAATCCTGCCACTAGTCATCACATCCAAGAACTGTCTTTGGGTGGTATCGGCCGTGGAGGTGAGTCAGGAATGTTGGTGGAAAGCTGACTGGCATGGTGCGAACGTGCGCTGCAGAAGGGGCGTCCGGCATGGGCAGTCAGGAAGAACGTGCGTCGATGGTAGTGGAAGACGTGTGGCAACTGTAGATTGGTCGACCGTCCGGTATGGGCTGGCAGAGGCGTGGTGGAGTGCGCTGGCGAGTGCGGACATGCGCTGGCGAGTGCGGTCGTGCGCTGGCGTGCGGACGTGTGCTGGCGGAGAGAAAGCAATCTGAGATTTTTGACTTATTCTCCACTCCTCCCTTCACGCAATCTCTTTGGCTTCATTTCTGCGAGTCCTTCTCTTCCCTTGCTCTCTGCATTCTCTCCTCCTTCTCTCTTCATTCTCTGCACTCTCTCTAGAAACCACTGTTTCATCTCCTCTCTCCTCCAATTCCTGGTTCCGCAGCGTGGAAAGGACGCACGACATCCAGGGCTTCAGAGAGGACGTTCGGTTGGCGAAGTTGGACTGTTGGAGTGACGAGCGTTGACAGTAGGAGAACTAGTGTTTGAGAGGTCGTGTCTCTGTGGTAGTGGACGTTCGGTCATTTCCGGGTAAGGGAAGCTTACTTAATTTAACTGTTTGGATGTATTGTATGTTATTGAACTGTTCATTATTTCACTGTATGATGTTACTGTAGTTGATTGTAATGAACGTTCTTTATTTCATTCACTGGAGGATGTTACTGTAGTTGATTGATGAACAGTCGGTTATTTCACTGTATGAATGTTTAACTGTAGTTTTTGAATTGCTGAACGTTCGTTTATTCAACTGTGATTTTTACTGTATTTGATTGGTATGAACGTTCGTTATTTCACTGTATGTGTTAACTGTATTTGATTGCATGAACTTCGTTATTTCAACTGTATGGGATGTTACTGTTAAGTTGATTGTAAATGAACGTTCGTTATTTCACTGTATGATGTTTTACTGTGTTTGATTGTATGAACGTTTCTATTTCACTGTATGATGTTACTGTAGTTGATTGCATGAACGTTCGTTATTTCACTGTGTGATGTTACTGTAGTTAATTTCATGAACGTTCGTTCTGGACGGTCACTGACCGTTCGGTTTTTCCTTAGAAATATGGTTGGAATGTTGATTCTGTCATTTGACTAAATCTGTGGTTGAGGACGACGTCCTCACTGTTTGAGCGTTTCGGTTTGGCACTGTAGAATCTTGTACGTTTGATAAACTTCTTTCTTTTTGTACTTGTATATATATATATATCAATCTGAGTTACTGGACGTTCGGTTTTACACCTGACGTTCGCCCAGAATAGCGTTCGGTCTTACACCGGACGATCGTACTGGAAAGGCGGCCGGTCTGCACTGACGTACTCTCAAAGTGTCGTTCGGTTTCATACCGAGCGTTTCGTTATAAATGAGGCTTCGGCCTTATAATGGGCGTCCGCCCGAAATAGTGCTCGGTCTTCCACTGAGCGTTGTCCTAATAGTGTCAGTTTTGAGCTGAGCGTTCGTCCTAATAGTGCTTCCGGTTTTGAGCTGAGTGTTCGTCCTAATAAGTGCGCGGTATATCGTTCGCCTAATAGTGCTCGGGTTTTTTGAAATGAGCGTTCGCCTAATATGCTCGGTTTTGAATTGGGAGCGTTTCGTCCTAAATAGTGCCTCGGTTTTGAAATGAGCGTTTTCGTCCTATAGTGCTCCGTTTTGAAATGAGCTTGCGTCCTAATTAGTGATCGGTTTTGAATGACGTTGTCGTCCTAATATGCTCGTTTTGAAATGACGTGTCGTCCTAATAGGCTCGATTTTGAATTGACGTTCGTCCTAATATGCTCCAGGTTTTGAATTGAGCGTTTCGTCCTAATAGTGCTCGGTTTTGAATGAGCGTTCGTCCTAATAGTCTCGCTTTTTGAAATGAGCGTCGTCTAAAATGACGTCGTATTTATTTTTGAGCGCTAGTTCCATTTTTTCACCACTAAATAGCGTTCGTCCAATGACCAGGATTAGACTTTGACATTCTGAACTTAACCGTTCGTTCTTGATTCACGAGCGTCCGTTTTGGTCTCACTTACAGCGTTCGTCCTCGTCTTTGGGGACAGAACGTTCCGGCTTTTGGTGATTTTCTTATGAATGATGACCATGATTTGGAATGAGGAATAGTATTGATGAACCGTAAATAAGAGGAAATGAAAGTATGAATGTATGATGAATAGTGAATGATGAACAGTATATGAGATGAAATGAAAGTATGAATGTTGAATTAGAGTTCCGGGGATGATCATGAGAATTTGTAAAGTGTGACCGTGGCTAGACTTAGCAGGCGATTCGATCCTGCTATTCGTGACTACTCGTCTTCACATAGAGGGGGTATGTCATGCGGGGAATGGCAGGAGGTCCCCGTCACATAACCTGTAATTTGGACGTACACCGTCAACATAACTGTGATTTGGACGGAATGGACTAACCTCGGGTGGCAGCTGATGAGAATGCCAGTTACCACACCACCCGGGTGCGCGATCGTCATAGCTACACGGGGAAATCTTACAGTCCGGACAGTTGTGTTGAGTTTTATTTCGGACGTGCGTTAAAATATATTGATATGTGATGAATGCGTACGTTGATATGTATGTTGTGAAAGACTGTTTGCTGGAATTTATTATGTTGTTCTATTAAATTAGGACAGCTTTACACCTTTCCGTTTCCTTGTTTTGTTCCATTGTTCTTGTACGTCCGGCTTGTCATTGCGATGATCACCCGGTGGATGTGAGCAGAGGAGACTAGGCGTGTGGATGAGGCCGCTTATTAGAGACCTGGTTTGAGATGTTTGAAGTGAAGACCGAGCAGGTGACGCTCGGCTATTAGTTGTTGGCCGTGATTGGTCGTTCGTACCACCTCTGGTTTTCGTTTAAGTTGAATTCGGTCGTTCGGTATTGTCCTGTGCTAACCTGTCGGTCATATTTTCTTGTACGTTAGTTTTAAATTTAAACTCTTGTATGGACGTGCGTTTTGTTCCGCACTCGTCCCTAAATGTTGTAACTGTACTCAAGGACGTTCGTCCTTGAGCGTTCGTTCGTTTTTTTTTATTTTAGTGGAAAACTGTTTGAGATTATTATTAAATGTGATTTTTCTGAATTTATAGTGATGACTGTATTTTTGGAGATGTCACATTAGTGTATCAGAGCAGTTTTGTTCCTTTAAGGAACACTGTAGGTTATGAGTACACTGGGTTTTATGTTGTGCGTTAAATGCGTTAATGAGTTATTTTCAATCTTTGAAAGGTAACGTTCGTTCTTTCTCTCTGTTTCTCAAAGAGAACCAGGCAACTAGACTTCCTCCTCCTCCACCTCAGACCAATGAACATTATGTGCCCAACAACACGAGGCTGTTGGAATCAGTGATCGAAAAGCTACAAGAGCATAATGCTGTTCTGATGCAGCAGAACGCGACTAATTCACAAAATCTCGAAGCTGCTCGTGCCAATTCTGAGATGACTCAGAGGCAGCTGATGGAGATTCTTGCAGCTACTAGGGGTACGCCGGGAGCATCTGCTTCAAATGCTACTCATCAGGCTGAGTGGACTTTGGAGGGCTTTTTGCAGCATCGCCCTGCAAAGTTTGATGGGAAGTGCCTTCCTGACGGAGCTGATCAGTGGATAAGGGACATGGAACAGATCTACGATGCCAAGGAATGTCCGAACGATCGAAGACTAGCATTCACTGAGTATCTGTTGACTGGAGAGGCCAGTCATTGGTGGTCGACTGCGAAGATGTTTCTAACGGAATCTCACAGCCCTATTTCCTGGAAAGTCTTCAAGGAAAATTTTTATGAGGAATATTTCCCGGATAGTGTTCGTTTCGGCAAAGAAGTGGAATTTCTCCAGTTGGTGCTAGGTAATATGTCTGTTTCTGAGTACACCAACAGGTTCAAATATCTGGTTCGTTTTAATACCCTGGCAACCAGTGAAGTGTGGCAGTGTAGGAAGTTTGAGAATGGGCTGAGAAGTGATCTAAAGGTACTAATCTCCAGCCTTTGCATTAAGTCTTTTCCTGCCATGGTTGAGAGAGCAAAAGTGTTAGAGAAGAATGTAGTCGAAGCAAAGCAACAAAAGAAACAGCAGCATGCAGCTAAGGGGTCGATCATGTCCAAATCAAATTTGGACCGAAATAGAGTACCTTACGCTCGTCCAGTACAACCACTGAATTCAAGTGGGTCTCAAGCTTTGGTTGTTGCCGGACAGTCTGGGCAACAAGGGATGGTCAGATGTTTTCAATGTGGAGGACCCCATTTCAAGTCATGTCCTTAGTTAACTGGAAGGAAGTATTGCAACCGTTGTAGAAGAAGTGGTCACTGGGAAAGTGAGTGTTATATGGGCGAACGAGCGACAATGACACCACCAAATGCTGGAAGAATGCAACAAGGAAGGGGTGGACAAACGCAGGCTGTTGGTAGAGTGTATTGATAACAGTTGAAAAACTGTTATTTTCATGCTTAAAATTGATACTAAAAGCAATCTTTAGACTTAGAAACTAGCTTGAAATCATGCCTTTTATCTATATTTTCAGAAATAAGAGAGCTGGACAGGTTTATGCTTGATTTCATTGTTTTTGTGCAGGTTTTAATTTGAATTTAGTGAAAGAAGTGAAGAAGGAGAGAGATAGAATCAGAAAAGGAATCAAAGAGTGCTAAAAGAAGAAGTCGAAGTCACCGCTCAGCGGCATTTTACCGCTGAGCGGCACTCAAGAGGTTGCGGGAGGTCCGCTGAGGGGCAAAATGGTCGCTGAGGGGAGAAAACGAGACGCGCAATCACCGCTGAGCGGTATTTTACCGCTGAGCGGCACTTTAATGGGCTTGGGCTTGACTTTTTGTAATTTACGAATGATATATAAGCTTGAGGGGTTCCTAGGATTAGGTATCTTTGGCAGAAACGAAGCAAACACTCTCTCTTCCACCCCTTTGAAGGAGGATCTTGAATGCTCAGGCTACCTCTTCACCTTTATTGGGTTTATTCTTTCATACTTTCATTGTAATTCATCTAGGTTCACCATGAATATGGTGAACTAAACCTTGTATGTTTGTTGGGGAATCAATGTAATCTCTTGAAGCTCTCATATATGGAATTTATGCTTGCATCTTAATCTAAGACTTATGCTTTCTTTCATCATTAGTTAGGGTTTTTCCTCTTTGCTTAATGCTTGCATTGTTTAACTCATTCTAATGCATGATTATTGGTTTTGTCGATACGGACACGTACGGGGAAGTCTAGATCCGGGGAATTTCTCCCAATATTATATTGGTTGTCGTTAAGCTCCTGCACTTATGAACTAATCATTAGGAATGCTAGGAATTGTATGAACTCGTGATTAGGGAGAAGCCATCTAGAATGGTACTTTAGAGAGTGGCATTAACAATGATGATTTGAATGTTGAATTCCTAAAATGTATGAGAGTGGATGAGATGAAATTGACCCCCAACAACATATTCATTCATATATTCCATTGAAAGTGTTTATCTTTTGTCTTTGCCATTGATCAAATTTCATGCATACATATTTAAATTTCGTCTTTTGCATATAAAATCCAAATATCTTGTCTTTAAGTCTTAGTTAATCAAGAAACCACACAACTAAACTAGGCCGTGAGTCCTTTGGGAAGAACGATACTTGGTCTTACCAAGTTTATTACTTGAACGATTCGGTCATACTTGCCGATTGAAAAACAAGTGTGTGACATCATATTTTGGTGCTTACAAATTTGTCCATCATGTATGCGATCACAGGCGCCGAAGCTGCCAGTTCAGGTACGTTCGTCACCAGTATCTGTTTATTATTTGGAAAGCCATGTTGTGTGTTGTATGATTCGGGGGCGACACACTCCTTCATTTCGAAGGTGTGCGTTGGGGAATTGGGTATAGTCGAACGCGAGATGCAGTTCGACTTGGTAGTGTCAACCACAGTGGCTGGTGAGGTTAGGGTGTCTGCAGTATGCTTCAAATGTCGTATAGAGAGTGAAGGGCGTAGTTATAAGGTAAATCTAATCTGTCTACCGTTAAAGGAATTAGAAGTGATTTTAGGAATAGATTTGCTGACCGCCAACCGCATTCTTATTGACTATGGTGCAAAGGAATTGGTATTTCCGGACGAGTATGAAGTGGATCTATCTGTGACGCTCGGTCAACTAAAGGAAGACATCATGGATGACGCCAGTTGGTTTCTGATCATGACTCATCGGACGAACGATTTGAAGGTTTGAGTCATGAACGATCGTCCAGTAAATTGAATAGAGGACGATCGATCGCGGATGAATTCTTTGACGTATTTCCTGATGAAGTACCAAACGCCTTGGTGTTAGTTTCAGGAATGGGAAAAGGTGTTAACAGGACCAGAACTCATTCAGCGAACGATTGAGAGGGTGAAGTTGATTCAGGAAAGGTTGAAGACGTCCAAGAGTCGATAGAAATCCTACGCTGACAAGAGGAGAAGACCCTTGGAGTTCGATGCCGGAAATCATGTTTTCCTTAGACTACATCCGACCACTGGTGTAGGGAGAGCTATTGACCCAAGAAGTTGTCTCCTAAGTTTATCAGACCTTATCAGATCTTGAGGAAGATCAGATCAGTTGCGTACGAGTTATCTTTATCGCCTCAACTATCCAATTTTCATTCGGTCTTTCATATTTCTCAACTCCGGAGGTACGTAACCGACCCTTCTCACGTATTGAAGTTAGAAGATATTCGTCTTCGTCAAGACCGTACGCTGGAGATGCAGCCGGTACGCATTGAAGATAGTAACACCAGGTACTACAAGAAGAAAGCCGTCAGATTGGTGAAAGTCGTCTGGGACGAGAAGACGGGTGACTCTACGTGGGAAGTGGAAGATGCCATGAAGGATTTGTATCCCCATCTGTTTGAGATTTTGTCTTAATTTTCGAGGACGAAAATTTTTGTAGTTGGGGGGAATGTCAAGACTCAGAAAATAGCATGTACAGTGGAGTCCACGTGGCAACCAGAGAGCGAGCCACCTCAGCGATGCACATGGGCGACAGTAGCGCCTGACAGCCACTAATAGACGCCAGGTGCCGCACGTGGAGGTGAGTCAGGAATGTTGGTGGAAAGCTGACTGGCATGG